AGCAATGAAACCATCATCCAGCCTTCTGATGGAAGAAAGATCTATCTTGTCTATGATCTTGCTTTTCTCTCCTGGTCATCCAAAGTCCCTGAGACACCAGGTAAAAATTACCTGAGTTCATCAAACCTCAGTGTGAAGCCATAAAACAAACATCTCATTTTGTGTCCTAAAAATCTCTCTGTAATTGTTAAAATTCTGGGCATCCTTCAACCTGGTGGAGAGGGGAATCACTCCACTCCACATTGTGTAATGGGCTGTGCAAGCTAGCCACATGGTGTCCAGGAGGAAGAAGGGGAAGTGCCTGTGGAGTGCAGGAATATAGCAGGGTCAGCTATTTGAGCCAGGGGCAAGTGCTGTTGTAATGGAAATCTCTGCAGATCTAGAAAAGGTCTGTGTCTTGGGTGGAAGGCAGGGCCAGGAACCACTCACTGTGCAGAGTCTTTAAGTACACAGTTATCCTAAGGAAGGTGCTCTTGTCACTCAGGCCTCACTAGCCAATCAGGCCCTCCAGTGTGACCTGCCAGTCAGAGGAGTGTGGTGGGGGTGGGGTTTTCCATGGCACAAGTCTACTTGCCAATTGGAGCTATGTAGTTATCAGTCTCAAGGCCACTGTGTCTTTAGTCAGTAATTTTTCTGAGGTACTCTGTGTTCTCCTTATGCAGCAGTGTGTGAATTGCCTCCTCCTGAGTTTGTCCCATCGTATGATAGTTTCTGTTGGCTTCATAGAAGTCTCCCTCCCATTTTCTTCCATTTCCCCACTGGAAGCAGTATACAAGATGCTAGTCTTCTTAAGAAGTTTACTTGTCATGAGGCATAGCTTGTGCAAGACCTCCTCACCCCAGCTTTTATTTTTTTCTGCCTTCTACTTTTCCTACCCTTCTCATCCCCTGATACCTTCACCTCAGGACCCTGTCACTGAAGAATGACCTGCTGTTTCAGGTTAGTGTTGTACTTAAGGAATAAATCTGGAATTATCTTTGCTGTGTGAGTTTCCCATCTGCCTAAGTGGCTAGACTTGCAATCTCCTGATCCTATTTAAATGTTCAAAGTGTAACTGGAGCCTGAACCTAAACGCAACTTAAGGATGACAGAATATGTGGAATGTAAAATCTGTTCCACGCTGGCTCCTCCTTGAGCATAAGCCAGAGATGGATGCATGCTATCATTAAAGAAAGTTTTCTTTATTAATCCCAAGTGTGTGGAGTGATTTCTCCTTTAGAAGGAGTATTCATTCTTGAACAGCTGCACCTCCAACTATTTAGAAAAATGTTTCTGAGACAAACTCCCCTATGTTTATGCAAGGGGCCTTGATCCCAGTATATTGGTCCCCAGGGCAATGACTTTGGTGTCTATGATTAAACATTATAAATTCTTAAATTAAAGGACTCTACCACCTCAGAGTTTTAAAATACCCCATTTGTGTCGTGTAGTTGACTATCCATTGAAGTCACAGGAAAAGGATTTGCATGTGGAGCATGACTTCTGCCTTCAGACCAGAATAAGAGGAATAGTTCATTGTGTGCCCTTCAGAGAGAAACAGAGTAGGCAACCAGCTGGTGGAGTCACCATTATGAAGAAGGACTTGATTGTAGTTTCCCAGCATGTTTTAATCCCTGTCATGTGAATGAACACAGACCAGATTGGTGGGTGTACAATTTGAGACAGTTAGTTTGAGCCAATGAATATTGAATTTCTAATTAGACAACTCTCTTTTGCAGATACGTTCAGTCTTGCTTGACAGAGTTAAGTCAGCTCAGAAGATTGAGAAATAGACCATTGGCTGTAACTCTGTGTGTCAGGTTACAGATCTCAGCAGCCAGCATGTGCGTGTGGGCAAGAGCAATCAGTATTTTATTAATTGCATTTCCTCAACTAGGGAAGGTCCTACTCTTTCCTAATGTAGTTAAGTTTTTTTTATCTTCAAAATAAATTACTTTTGTCATGCTAAAAAGAATTATTGTTATTATTTTTTAAATTTCATTTTCTTTAAATACATTTTGTTAAAGTGTGACACCTTGGGCAGCCTTGGTGCAGGGGGGAGGGCTTTGGACTTGCCCCAACTGAATGTACCAAGCTCTGCTGACTCTCCATGGGAGATCTTGACATGGAGGAGGTGGGAATGGGGGGCTGGTTTGGGGGGAATACTGTGGGGTGAGAGGAGGGAGGAGGGGTATCTGTGGTTGTTATGTAAAATGAATAAAAAATTTCTTAACAAAAATAAAAAAATGCATTTCTTCTGTAATCCCCATTTGTTTCTGTTTTCCAATGTTTCTTGGTCATTTATAGTTTCATTCCTTTTCTTTCAAGTGCTGTTGATTTTTTATTTCTGTTTAGAGCAATGTTTCTGTAGGCTTGCCTCATGCTATATAAGCATTGTTGAGCATTGTTTTGAAAACCTAATTGTAGATGTAACCAACGGTCTTATTAAATAAGAAACACAGAGCCAATTCAGAGAAGAAAGCCAAGAGGTCAGAGCTAAGAGCCTCACCCTTCCTGATTCAGGGATCCTCTTCAGCCAAGAGAGCTCTCCGAAAAGGGACCTACTTCCTGTGTGTGTATGTCTTTATAGTCTTTCTGTTCTGCCTTCTCATTGGTTGTAAACACAAACATGTGACTGCCTCGTCACTGCCTGTATGTACCGCCCTCCAGGTCCTTAAAGGCGTGCACCGCCGCCACGCACTTGCTATGACTCTATAGCTCTGACCCCCAGACAATTTTATTTATTAACATACAATTAAAATCACATTTCAGTACAAGTAAAATACCACCACACCTAATCCTTCCTCTGTTGCCTGGTACTGGGAAGAGTCCTTCAGTTCCTTCTAGTTGGGTCTTGGCTGGTCAGTGAGAAGGAAACATAGACCAATGAATGAGTGTCCTCCAATCTCTCTGGCTTTTACTGGGGACATAGAAATGAAGAGGGACCTGGGCAAGAATGGAGTTCACTGACCAATTTTGAAGCTGGTGTAGTGACAGTGAAGAAAGGGAGGGGCAGGAAGGAGGGTGAAACATTTCCTGCTTTGGCAATATTTGAGATTAGCATTGTGGTAGGTAATCAATTTCAGATGCTCCATATATGTCCTGACTGGTCATTTCTTAGAATCCACAGACCAGGGCAATCAAGAATCTGGATAAAGGACTGACCATGTTATGAAATCAATTTATTATAGTTACACTAGTTCAACCAATATAGGAGATCTGAGTAAAATAATGTGGCCCTGCCTATTGGGACTATTATTTTCCTGGTTTGAGATGTTCAGCCTGAGGGAGAAGGCATGAGTAATCATTGGTGTGCTCTCATACAAATCTGTAGTTTCTGCAGCATGTGGCCCTAAATCCTGCTTCAACTTTTCTAAATAGTTCTTTGAGAGTATAACTACATCATGTCCACAGTCTCTTTCCTGCCTGCAAGCCCTACCACTGCCCCTCATGTTTTCTAATTCATGGCCTGTGTTTGCTTTAAAAATAGTTAAATAATAGCAACACTTGCTTTTTGAATGTGACCTGTGTTTGGCTGTAGGAGTTCCCAGTTAAGAAGCAAAGGGTTGGCTGCATTGTACATTGAGTGTGTAATGGATTGTTCACACAAAACACTTCCTGCCAGGAAGTTGTCTGGGAGACTGGAAGAATTTCTACTAAAATACTAGGGACCTGTCTCCTGGGGTGGAATTGCAGAGCAGGGAAGGCCTGTGCTGTCTGAGTCACTTGACCTCTGATCACCCAGTAAAGCAGGCGCTAATGTCCTGAGGCCCAGCTGGGTGGCCTAGACTAATGTGGGACCCTGGGAAGGTTTAGTAATTTGGAGTACCAACAGAAGGCAGCTATAGAGAGCTGCGAGGGAGACCAGAAGCCATGCCATGGTGAGTGTGGGGTCAGTGTCTTCACTGTCACAGAGCAGCAGCAGTTCTTCCGAGGTGCAGAGGTTTCTGAGTTGTGTGTGGTTTTGAGTGGGTGGATATAGGGCAGATTCCACATCTTGTGACATAATCCATGTGGCAGGAAATTGACATTTAGTTATTCTTTTACAATGTTTTCTGTGTGGGCATCCGGCCCCTCAAACAGACACAGCTTCACAACTATCTCCCATATGCAGAGGGTATAGTCTGGTCCCATGCGGGTTCCACAGCTGTCCGTCTAAAGTTCATGGGTTCCTTTGAGCTTGGTTCAGTTGTCTTTGTAGATTTCCCCATCATGATCTTGACCCCCTTGTTCATGTAATCCCTCTTCCCTCTTTTCGACTAGACTTTTCGACATGGAGCTTGGCCTGGTGCATAGTTATGGGTCTCTGCATCTGCTTCCATCAGTTACTGGATGAAGGCTCTATGGTGACAGTTACAGTATTCACCAATCTAATTACCAGGGTAGGACAGTTCAGGCACCCTCTCCACTGTTGCTAGTAGTCTAATCTGGGGTTGTCCTATGGATTCCTGGGCATTTCCCTAGCACCAGGTTTCTCCCTTAACCCATACTGTCTCCCTCTATCAAGATATTTCTTTCATTGCTCTCCTACTCCGTCCCTCCCCTAGCTCGACCATCCCATTCTCTCATGTTCTCATCCCCCATCTCCTCTCCTCTATTGCCCTCCCCTCATCCTCAGTTTACTCATGGAGATCTCTGTTTACCCTTTCCATGGTGATCTGTTCATCCATCTTAGGGTCCTCCTTGTTTCCTAGCTTCTCTGCAGCTGTGGGTTGTGGTCTGTTTATCGTTTGCTTTACATCTAGTATCCACCTATGAGTGAGTACATGTCATGGTTGTCTTCCTGAGTCTGGGTTACCTCACTGAGGATGATATTTTCTAGTTCCATCCATTTGCCTACAGATTTCATGATGTCATTGTTTTTACAGCTGAGTAATACTCTGGCTGGTGTTGCCTGCACATGAGCATGGCTATCTGCCTGATTTGAGTGCTGGAACATGGGCTCATTCCTCTCTTTCTGAATGAAAATATATCCTGTGCCACTGTATGTTGCAAAGATTTAACTTGTTTCTTGATTTTAGAATATTTTACATTCAAGAGATAATCGTGAGTATCAGAAGAGACTTTGGACATTTGAACAGTGTTGGAGCTGTTACAGACTATGAGAATCATTCAGGTTAGACTAAATGCACTTTCCTATCCTTTTTGTTGTTTTTTTGTTTGTTTATTCTTGTTTTATTTATTCTTTTGTCATCCTGACCTCAGTCTCCAATTCCTCCACTCCTCCCAGTCCCCATCTCCTTCCCACTCTCCCAGATCCACTGCTCCTGTTGGTGTATCAACCAAACACATCATTACAAGATGCAATTAAACTAGCCACAAACCTTCATATCAAGGCTGGATTAGGCAACCCAGGAGGAGGAAAAGGGTCCAAGAGTAGACAAAATGGTCAGAGACACCCTTACTCTCACAAACACATCAAGGTAAAAAACCACAGCATGTAGGCAGAGGACCTGGCACAGATCCATGCAGGACCCATGATTGCTGCTTCTGTCTCTTTGAGCCCCTTTCATCCTGCCTAGTTGATTCTGTGGACATGTTCTCCCAGTGTCCTTGACCCCTCTGGGTCCTCCAGTCCCCCCATATGCATGGTTCCCAGAACTCCAGCTAATGTTTGGATGAGGATCTCTGCATCTGCTCCCATCAGCTGCAGGAGGAGACCTCTCTGATGACAATTGGACTGGGTACTAATCTATGATAATAGAATATTGTCAGATATCAATTCATTGACTTTTTTTTTCTTTTTGGTCAGTTATATTTGGTTCTACCCTAATTCTCCTAGCCATCCAACTTCTGGTTCCTGTTCATCCAGGCAGTGTTGGTCATGGGCTCCCTCTTTGGTCTGGGGCCTCAAGTTAGTCCAGTAGTTGGTTGGTTACTACACAAACTCCGAGACACCATTGCCCCAGAATATCTTGCAGACAGGACAAGTATGGGTTGAATATTTTTGTGGCTGGGTTGGTGTTCCATTCCCACCACTGGGAGCCTTACATTGTTATACAAGATGGCCAGTTCAGGCTCCATATTCTCAAATACTTGGAGTCCTCATTAGGTTCACCCTCAGAGCTTCCAGAAAGTTTCTACCATACTAGGTTTCCACATCACCCCCAAAAGCTCTCCTATCGCACTCACCTTTTCCTCTATTCTCTCCCTCTGTTCCTCCATTACTTACCTGATCTTTTCTGTTCCTGCCCCCAGTCCACCCACAAAAATCTATTTATCTCCTCTTCCCAGGGAGATCCATTCATTCCCTGCCTCTACAGCCATCCTTGTTACTTAGCCTCTCTGAGTCTGTGGATTGTACTGTGGTTATTTTTTACTTGACAGCTAATATCCACTTATAAGTGAGTGCATATCATGTGTGTCTATGTGGTTCTGGGTTACCTTGCTCAAGATAATAAACAACTCAAGAAACTAGACATCCACAAGCCAAATAATCCAATTATAAATATGGTACATATCTAAATAGAATTCTCAATAGAGGAATCTAAAATGACTGAGAAACACTTAAGGAAATGTTCAACATCCCTAGCCATCAAGGAAATGTAAATCAAAATTACTTTGGTATTTCACTTTGCACCTGTTAGAATGACTAAGATCAATAACACAAGTGACGGCTCATGCTGGTTAGGATGTGGAACAAAGGGACACTCCCACTGCTGGTAGGAGTGAAAACTTGTACAGCCATTATGGAAATCAATATGGCAGTTCCACCGATAATCGGGAATGTATCTACCTCGAAACCCAGCTTATGACTCTTGTGCATAAACCCCCCCAAATTCTCCTCCATCCTGTCATGAAGACATTTGCTTAACTATGTTCAAAGCTGGTTTGTTCATAATAGTCAGGACTTGCTATGTCTATAAGAGATTGTGTTGATGATTGATGTGGGAAGGCTCTTCCAGTGAGTTGGCAATATCTCTAAGCAAGTGGACCTGGGATGGATAGGAGAGCTGGCTGAGCACAAGACAGTGACAAAGCAAGTGAGAAGGCCAGGAAACAGTGTTTGCCCATGGTTTTTATCTTCATTTTCTATACCACAATGATGGATTGTGACCTGGCAGAATCAGCTAAATAAACTTACCTGAGATGATTTTGCAGCAGAGAAGCAACTTAGAACAAAAAGTGGAATACTAAAGTGATTGTATTGTTGGGAAGAGCCTGGGAATGTTGTCTTCTAGAGGAATGTAGAAGATATCAGGACTTAAATAGCAGAAGTCATAGAAAGCTCACACAGAGCTCAATAGGCTGTTCTTGTAGGACAAGGAAGATGGGACTTTTGAGAGTAATCCACACAGAGGAGGTCAGGTCATAGATTTTAGTGAGAAATAGACTCCATGAAAGATTAAGCTAGAGGTCATTTGCATCTTATTTTGGCCTAAAATCTTTCTTATTCTGTCCTTGCTCTGAGAAATTGAGTAAGGCCAAATTAAAAAGTAATGGGCTGATTTCTTAGATGGAATATTGAATCTGTTAGATGTTTATTACTGATGACTCATTCAGATCTACAGTGAAAAAAAGCAACAAGTTGGGCAGAAATAAATGACAACAAAAGGTAGTTTCAGACAGCAGTCATGTGCTGAAACAGAGGCAGGAATGATCAAGGAGATCACCATTAAAGAGAAGGCCCTTTTCCTACAGTGGAAGCCTATCTAGGTACTGTAAGGGCAGCAGGTTAAGCCTTCAGTTAATGGAAGGATTAGGCAAAGTGATTCCTATCACCCAGAAGCAGCTTCATATAAAACCTGCTGCAACTGTGGTCCAAGCTTGGCAAGGTCCGTCTGAATAGGAAGCCAAACTTGTGCTGGCTCTGGAAACAAGAAAGAATCAAAATCTCAGGTCATGGATTCCTGGTCTGTGGTTTCAGTTCAGCACTCTTGCAGTCATCTATGTTTGGCAGAGTCAGAGCCCCAGTGAGGAGCCTGTGAGAATCCATTGCATGAAGCTTTGAGCATGAAGCCCGGGTTGCATTTTGAGACCACAAGACACTGAGATACATAAGCTATGAGATATCTGCCATGGAGAGCTGCATATAGGGAGTGGAAGTAGCCACAAAGAGATATATGAGAAATTTTAGGGAAAATGAGACACCTAAGCCCTTTGAAACTGAAGCTCCATGTGTCTGAGACAGAAGTACAGGATTTGGTGTTTGCCCTGCTGGGTTTCAGTCTTGCCTTGGTCCAGTCTTCCCTCACTGTGTTCCAGACCCTCTTTGGGAATGGTAATGGGTATTCTGTGCCAGTGTATGTTGGAAAGATATAACATGTTTTCTGATTTTACAAGATGTCAGAGTCAAGTGATCACCTTGTGTCCAAGGTGTCCAAAGAGACCTTGAATATTTGAAAGGGTAGGTGCTGTTGAAGACGATGAGGATCATTGAAGATAGACTAAATGCATTTTGATCATGAGGTGACCATAAGCCTATAGTGACCTAGGTCAGAATGTATTCGATTGAATGAAAACCATCCCAGATAGGATGATGTATTTGAATACTTGTCTCTCCTTGGTATCTTTCTTTAGTGTGCTTATAGAACCCTTAGTAGGAGGAGTCTTTCTGGATGAAATTCCTCATTAGAGAAGGGATTTGAGTGTCTATAGCCTCAATCCATTTTCTATGCAACTGTATCCCTAACCCCAGCAACAACCCCCACAATAAGCAAGCAACACACCACAGCACAGACACCTTACCAGACAGCACAGTTTCTGGTGTTAGCATGCCTCTAGGTACAGCTCCATCACCACCAAAGTCCACCAACACTGGAATAGGATCATCAGTGTCTCCAGGCCTCAGAGAAACAAATAGGACCATGACAACACCTTCAACAGCATTAAGCATACCAAAGGATGCCATCCCATCATCTGGAACTGGGACACCCACTCTTCCTGAGAAGTCAGCTTTAACTCCACTCTCATTAACACTGGCCAAAGTCACTTACACAAACAAACTTTTACCTATGATGAGTATGGCAAGTACAAATACCTCTTCACCAACCACAGCCACTCTAAGGAGAACTGTTCATAGTATAGGCCCATCTGAGATTCAGGAAAAGGACACAGCAACTGTATCCCTAACCCCAGCAGCAACGTCCACAATGAACAAGTCACCAGACCCACACCACAGCACAGTTACACAGACATCTTCCCAACCGGCCCAGATGGGCTCAAGCACAGGCACTGGTACAGCCCAGTCACCTGAGCATTCCACAGCCCTTGTCCTTAGCTCATGTTCTTTGTGTCTGGCTGTCATGACTTCACCATGATTGTAGGTGGTATCACTAAATCCCATATGATACTGTTGAAGCAATTGCTATTCAGTGCTAAGCCATTTTGTAACCTGAGTTTTTGTCAATTTTGTTGTTTTTATTTTTGTTTTTGAAGAAAAGGTTTCTCTGTGTAGCCCTGGCTATCCTAAAAGTAGCTCTGTAGACCAGGCTGGCCTAAATTCAGATATCCGAAGATTTTGGCTCCTATGTCCTGTGATTAAATGTGTGCCATCATGCCTGGGCTTTTTTTTTGTTTTTTTTATATTGTTATGTGATGGGCCTGGAATGTATGTTTTTGTACATGTCAAGCATATGCTGTTTTGCTTGAAATTTCAAATCTGGCAGAGTGTACTGTTCTCTTTCCCAGGATGGCAGTACTCATGACATTAAAACTGCGTGAGCCTTCTGAGTCATTCAGTTGCAAGTGTGTGACATTCTACCTATTGTGTTGGTTTTCAGTTCTTTTGAATGAATATTCATCTTTTGCCAGTATGCATGGATTTGCACTACATGTGTGCCTGGTCCTCACAGCAATCAGAAGATGGTTTCACAACCCCTGAACTTGTAGTAATGGATAGTTGTAAGCCCCCATGTACGTATTGGCAATTGAGCCCACCTGTCTGCAAGACCAGCAAGAGCTCTTAAATGCTGAGTCATCTCTACTGTTCTATGTTATTTATGATCAGCATTTACATTGCTAATGTTTGCATTTGCTCATTTGTAACCATAAACATGCATTCCCGTTTAGCAAGATCTTATTATTGTTATAGTTTAAACTGGTTTCTGGAAGATGAAAACAGAGCTGGAGTATATGCATGATTCTTTGTAGGAACTTCCATAAAAAACCTGGGAGTTCTTTCTACCATTTTTGTACAATTTATTTTTATGGGGGAGACAGGGTCTTACTAATATGTAACTGGCTATCCTGAAATTAACTGCATAGGGCAGAATGGCATCCAATTCAACTAATTTCACCTGTCTTTTGCCACATGAGTGCTGGGATTATAGGCATGAGCCAATGCACCCAGCTTGCCCATCTTGTTTACAGTTAGTAAGTGTTCATTCAATTTCTCTGATGTATACTTTGATCTGTTTGCTTGCCTCTCTTTTTATATCTGTTAATAAGCACTTCTCCTGCAAGGCTATATCCTAGACAAAGTGTGAAGAAATGACAGAGGTGAACCTCATTGTTCAGTTATCTTTTTTCTAAAATGAATTGATGATTAGAATGTCTGTGTCATGGAATAATTGTGGGGAGCCCCAGAATTATACAAATATATTGTCAAAGAAATATACATTAGCATGCTGTCAGTATCACACTTTCTGTTGTATGGGATATTTTAGATTGCAGTGACCTATGATGATGTGCATATCGACTTCACTTGGGAGGAGTGGACTTTCCTGGATTCTTCCCAGAAGAATCTCTACAAAGATGTGATGCTGGAGATCTACAGGAACCTCACTGCTATAGGTAAGACTGAATTTTTCATCACATTTTAAAATAAGGGGACAATTGTTCCTTTGTTATTAATACTCTTCTGTAATTCTGATTGAGAAAGAAGAAGAATGAGGTGAATAAATCTGGCATGGTTCTAAAATTCACTGAAGATAGTAACTTAAATTTTGCACAGTTTCCCATAATATATCATACATTTTCTGGTACTGTATTTTAGGCTACAGTTGGGAAGACCGTAATATTGAAGAACATTGTCAAAGTTCTGGAAGAAATGGAAGGTAATTTTCATGTGCTAGGTGAACAAATGAGCCTATGGAGAAATTGTAATGTGTCCCAGAAGTTTTAAACAAAAGCAACAATGTAAATAAGCACAGTTTAAAGTGTACTGATGATTGTTAAATTCTCACAAAACCAAATACCTCAATGTCAGGGAGCTGATATGTGTTTGCAAGGCATTGCTCTGAGAAAGAACACAGGGAAACAATGCCTTAAATATCCCCATTTGAATTACAGCTTATGATAGCTCTGCTGTAGATCAGCCAATCTGTTTAATTTCATGCCAATCAGATATTGCAAAAGGAATATGTGTTGAATAGGTGATAAGTATATATTGAAAACATTCTAATAAGCAAATAGTTCAGAGTAAATGAGTGTTACTCATATACTTGGGATTTTTCTAAGTTTAGGGAGAGGGCCAGTTTATGAGAGTCAAGAAAGTTGTTGTGGAGAATCCTTAATCCCTATACCACATGTCTATGAGGAAGAGAAAATCAAGCTGTGTGGATGCAGTGTGGAAACATTTTGTTTGTTAGTTTTCCTTTATCAGCACATCATATTTCACTCTGAATACAAGCCATGTGAGCAGAGGGATAGATATGGAAGGAAGCAATATAACTCTCTCTTAAAACAAAACAATTAGAAGATATGTAGTAGTCCCCACTTTGAGTAGATTTTTTGAATGTGATACAAGTTTAAAATTAATTGGTTTTCCAACTTCATTGGGAATACATAAACAAAATCACACTGCAGAAAAGCCCTATGAGTATTGGAATGTATAAAAATGTCTGTTTGTCCTGGTTCACTTTGCAAATGTAGCAATGACTCTCACTATTAGAAAATTTATGAATGCAATAAGTATGTTAAAGCTCTGAGTTCTTCCAGTTCTCTTTAAATATGTGAAGAATCTCATATAGAATAATGATGCTACAAATGTGGACCCTGTGATAAAGGCTCTTATCATTACAGATACCTTCAAAGACACAAAACATCCCTAAATGAAGGGGAACAGTATGAGTGTATACTTTAAGATCTTATTTGTCTTAAAAATTAGATCAAATTGTAAAATTAACTCATATAGATATAAATATTCATCAGTGTACTGAATGTGATAAAGCTTTTACATGTGCTAAGTATCTTTACAGGTTCAAAAAATGTCATACTGGAGAGAAACCCTGTGAATATATTCAATGTGCAAAAGCTTTTTCACAACACAGTCATCTTCAAATGCATGAAAGAACGTTTCCTGGGGAGAAACCCTACAAATGTAATCATTGTGATAAAGACTTTGCATATGCCACTAGTCTCCAACTACATGAAAGAACACATACTGGAGAGAAACCCTACAAATGTAATCAATGTGATAAAGACTTTTCACAACACAGTGATCTCCAAATACATAAAAGAACACATTCTAGAGAAAAAGCCCACAAATGTAATCAATGTGATATAGCCTTTTCAAGTCACAGTCAACTGCAAATACATGAAAGAACACATACTGGAGAGAAACCCTACAAATGTAATCAATGTGATAAAGGTTTTTCACAATATGGTAATCTTCAAATTCATGAAAGAACACATTCTGGAGAGAAACCCTATGAATGTAATCAATGTGGTAAAGCCTTTACAAGTGCCAGTAGTCTCCGAACACATGAAAGAACACATACTGGAGAGAAACCCTACAAATGTAATCGATGTGATAAAGCCTTTTCACAACACTGTCATCTCCAAACACATGGAAGAACACATACTGGAGAGAAACCCTACAAATGTAATCAATGTGATAAAGACTTTTCACGACGCAGTCAACTCCAAATACATGAAAGAACACATACTGGAGAGAAACCCTACAAATGTAATCATTGTGATAAAGACTTTGCATATGCCACTAGTCTCCAACTACATGAAAGAACACATACTGGAGAGAAACCCTACAAATGTAATCAATGTGATAAAGACTTTTCACGACACAGTGATCTCCAAATACATAAAAGAACACATACTGGAGAGAAACCCTATAAATGTAATCAATGTGATAAAGCCTTTTCTGGACACAGTAATCTTCAGATTCATAAAAGAATACATTCTGGAGAGAAACCCTATAAATGTAATCAATGTGGTAAAGCCTTTATATGTACCACTGATCTCCGAAGACATGAAAGTATACATGCTGGAGAGAAACCCTACAAATGTAATCAATGTGATAAAGGCTTTTCACAACACAATGCTTTCCAAATACATAAAAGAAGACATTCTGGAGAGAAACTCTACAAATGTAATCAATGTGATAAAGACTTTTCACGACATAGTTATCTACAAATACATGAAAGAATGCATACTGGAGAGAAACCCTACAAATGTAATCAATGTGATAAAGCCTTTTCAGAACACAATGCTCTCCAAATACATAAAAGAACACATACTGGAGAGAAACCCTACAAATGTAATCAATGTGATAAAGCCTTTGCATGGACCACTAGTCTCCAAATACATAAAAGAGCACATACTGGAGAGAAACCCTACAAATGTAATCAATGTGGTAAAGCCTTTTCACAACATATTAATCTTCAAAGGCATGAAAGAATACATTCTGGAGAGAAACCATATGAATGCAATCAATGTGGTAAAGCCTTTGCAAGTGCCAGTAGTCTCCAAAGACATAAAAGAATACATACTGGAGAGAAACCCTATGAATGTAATCAGTGTGGTAAAGCCTTTGCATGTGCGAGTAATCTCAGAGTACATGAAAGAACACATGCTGGAGCATAACCCTAAAAATGCAATCAATGTTTTAAAGACTTTTCATGACACATACTGGACAGAAACCCTACAAGTGTAATCAATGTGGTTTAAGCCTTTGCATGTGACAGTAGTCTCTAAATACATAAAAGAACACAATCTGGAAAGTAACCATACAAATGTAATCAATGTGATAAAGCCTTTTCATGACACAGTAATCATCAAATGCATGAGAGAACACATTCTGGAGAGAAACCCTATGAATGTAATCAGTGTGGTAAAGCCTTTGCATGAATCAGTAGTCTTTGAAATCATCAGAAAAAATAATCAAACTACAGAGAAACCTAGAAAGGTAGTGAGTGTGGCAAAGTTTTGCACTTCATGTTAGTCTTTATCACAAGAGTAAATTTCAGTGTGTAATTGGTATTTTAAAGTCTTTTCATTTTACAGTAGTCTTTGAGGACCTGAAAAAACTAATACTCAAGGAAATCTGGCCATAAAGAGTTTGGTAAGATCTTTACCCAACTGACTTAAATTCAGTTACACAAGTTTATTCTGGAGAAGAAATCTGATAAGTGTCACCAATCTGTTCAAGCATTGTGATGTCTCTCTTTATTTTATTTGCACCTACAAACTCATATGATGAAAATAACTATGAATTTAAATGATGAGGTAACCCTTTTAAATTCCACAGTTACATGAAATAACAATCCAGTTGTAAAGTTTAATGGATGTGTATTAATGCCATTTCTGTTGCTGTATAAAAGTTTATGTCTAAGTCAACTCATGAGTGAGCCCTTGGTTCTAGAGGATCTACAGGATCACCATCAAAGTGGCATGGCAAGAAGTGTCAAACATGGCAGCTAAAGCAGGAAGCTAAGAACTCACATCTTCCACCTGCGATATGAAGGTGAAAATGGGAACTGGAAATGGTATGTGGACGTGAATTCATGCTCAACCCCAGGGGAATCCTTCTTCCAGCAGGGCAAGCATTACCCATATCTTCCCAAATGATACTACCAACTGAGAAAGATTGATTTCTCTAACGTCAAGCCTACATGCCTGCTTTCTGTTTTATGAACCAGTTCATGATGAAGAAAAACTCTGTAAGTAAGTCTTTTGATGCTTCCACACCTGGGTTACAGGAATAAATGCTTTAAGAGAAAAACATTCTTGAGTGTAAATCTGATTGTTTAAAGATTTGTTTTAATTTTAATTATATGATATCATTGTTTCTTTTTGTGGGTATGTGCATTCTGGTTCCCAAGATGTTTAGGCCATTGGATCTTCTTTTAGCAGGAATTACAGGGAGTTGTTAAAAACCTGGCTTCATCCTGGGAACTTCTCTTAACTGTTTGGCTATGTCTATCACCCTGTAAATATTTCAAAGCTGCCATATGTAATCTTGATGTCAGGAAATAGGAAATAATTCATACAAGAGAAATATCCTATTCTGGTAAACGATTTGGTTAAGACTTTAGACATCACAATTATCTTCAGACTCACAAAAAAAATCTTGTTTTATGTCTTTTTCATCATACCCTTGAAGGAAGTAATTTATTTACCATGTTGACTCAAGACAAATGGGAGAGATCATTGCATCATGGGTTTCTATTTTGCCACATTTGAGATAGATACTAAAATGTGGTATATGTGTGGCCAATCCATTTAATGAAGTTTATTTTGTGGTTCTTATTTTTTTTCTTTGATTTCTGTTCATCTTCTGTTGTGCTTTCATTTAGTAATAGGTATTTTTCTGCTGCAATGTATAGAATGGGATGCCCATCATCTAAGTGGTCCATTGTTTATTTAAATATCAGGCAGTGTGTGATTGTTGAAGTAAGGGTGTCTGTGAAAGTGTGATGAGTTGTTTTTCCTGGTTTTGTTTTTCGTATTTTAACAAATTCCCTTGAGATGTTGTTTATTATCCAGTCTGGCTTCAACGTCAGTAATTAGGGATATATTTGAGCTCATTATCCTTAGGTGTCACCCTCCTGAGTACAAGTCCAAGGGTAGATGATGTATCCCTCATGTATGCTGTTTTAGTAGCATGTTTAAACATATATTAATGTTGAAATGCTTAATAGAAGAGAATATAAGAAACATTAAATACCTCATGTGCATCCAAACAGCATTTTCATATATCTGGTAGAGATGTAATAATGTAGGAAAATCAGCAGTCAACTGTGTATTTCACAACATTGCTTGATGTGCTATGGATATGAATATATTATTTGAAGTTCCATGTGTCTGCATGTCCCCATTAGTTATACATTTGATATTTTATCTTGAAGTACTGCATTCTAAGGTAATTATCCAGAGGTGCCAGATAATGTAATGGTAATGAGATTTATTTCAAAAGAAATTCTGTTGTGTGTGTGTCTGTGCATGTGTGATATATTATGGTTTTTTGGGCCGTGACACATATGTGGAGACTGGAAGACAGCTTTGTGGGGTGTCCTTTTTTCCTTATTCATATGGTGATTAAGATGAGGTTGCCAGTCAAGATGAGGTTGAGGGAGTAGAGGCTACTCAGTTTGCAATCTGAGTTCAGACTGGTGTGAAAATTTCTGGGATTCTCCCATCTCAGCCTCTGGATTGGCAGGATTTTATAGACATGGACCACCATGCCTGACTAGAGGAACATTGTCATTAACAAAATTAAAGCTTCCTTCAGTTGATAAGTGAACAAATAACTGAGAGGTTATGATATTTGCCAATTATAGCTTATTTCAAATAGCCAAATATAGATGATAAAATAGGTATTCATCGAATTCCACTGTAGATGTTTAATTATGGACAAACATGATAAATTGGTGGTTTATATTTCCTCAGAATCTGAAATCTGTCTATTTCATAATTTACCCTTTTGGTTTTCTCTATGATGTGTTTTCATTGACTCTGGCATTGGGTAGGAGATTCACTTTACAAAGATGCAAGCTTCTTCATTTGCAGTACACAGTCTAGAATTCACCCCTGCTCCACAGGTGATGTACTAGTCTCAGCTTCTTAAGTGGCTGCAGTTACAGGCATGAGCCACTATTCCTGTTTGCAAATTAACATTTGCATTGGCAATACCTTGTCTTATTTCCCATTTAGAATGGTGCAGGGTTGCTTTATTTTCTATCATAAGTGAAATGTTAATTTTATATTCTGATATAGGTTCAATTTAGTCATGACAAATACACAATTATAAAATTCTCGAGGTTTTTTTGGGAAACAATCCTCCCCTTTTTTTGGGTTTTTCGAGATAGGGTTTCTCTGTGTAACAGCCCTAGCTGTCCTGGAACTCAGTCTGTTGACCAGGCTGGCCTGGAATTCAGAGATCCACCTGCCTCTGTCTCCCAAGTGCTGGGATAAACGGTGTGTGCTACTACCATTTGGCACAATCTCCCTTTTTTGTGAGTAGTACATGATTTAACAGTGTTGTTACTAATTTGATTTTGGACATGTTTCTTGAACAGTAAACATTTCATGCATACTTAATGACTAGCTATTGTCCAACTGACCAAATATGAATTGAGACAAATGGTTAGTAATAGTAGTTTTGCTAATTTATTGAGAAGGTAAAAGGTCCTCTGGAGGGTAGAAGTTCACTAGTGAGAAAGAACGCACAAAAGCTCCTGACCACCCAAGGTCTCATTGATGTCCTCTTCTTTCTTTTTGTTCATTTGTCTGTGATGTGCATGCATGGTTTTATGCATGTCCACATGTGTGGGGGCATATCATTTGTACACATCTGTGTGGAGGCCAGAGGTTGAGTTTTGATCTTTGTCTTAGATGCTGTTCTCTTGACGTGAGGGGACTAGAAAATGAAAACAAAAGCATTGTTCACTGCATGATGTTCCGGGGCATGATGGGGCAAGTATGGACAACAAATATGGAGCAAGGAAGTGTATAGCTTTTTTATTTTTAACTCTTATGTGGTCCACCACTCAGCTCCCAAATAATAATAATAGAGAAGTATTCTTACTTATGAATACCCAGCCTTCACTTGACTTATTTCTAGCCTGCTTTTCCTAACTTAAATTATCCCTTCTACCTTTTGACTGTGGGTTTTACCTTTTTCTATTCTATATTCTTTGTGTGTTTATGGATACCTCCATTTTGTTTTATGCCATAGTAATCCAGAAGTCACATGTCATTTACATTTTATGAAACCATTAGTGAAGAAGATGGCCAAGTTGTGACTGACATGGCTGATTCCATTTTGAATAGTTCACCAGCAAATATGGGGGCAAACCACATGGTTCCTTTCTGTTCAAGATTGTCTCAGTCCTATGGGAAGGTGAACCCATTCCCCATCAGGCACAAGTCCCTGCAGGATACACACATCTCTCAGGTTAAATGTGCACTGTTACACCATTTTCTTTGAAAAGGCACTTTAGTTAGTTTAGGATGTATTTAGGAGGAGATGTTGCCTATGGACTAGACAAGTAGGCTCTAAATAGCAAAGGAATATAGGAAAAGGAGTCCATGGTCTTGGTCAGAGACAGTTGAGTCCATATGTCTTACATAGTAATTGTAACTGTGGAAGTCAAGTATTGTCATCCAGGAGTTTTAACTTAGTCCCCAAACACAAGATGTTTCTTGCCCCAATTATCCCAGGTAAGCATGCTGTCAGCTGAGATCAGATGGCTTTGTCACCCTCCATATGGGCTATAGTTTAAAATTTCTGGAAAGAAAACTTGTTGAAAGAGTTCATCCTAATAAAACCTTGGTAGCTTTTTGTGGCCCTTTTACTCAGTAAAGCATTATCTCATGGCATCATCTAAGATAGTCAGACGTAACTCCACCAAAGAGACTAGCTTTTTTACTTCCACTAGACCTCATCCAAGGTTTCCCAGACTGTCTCAGTGACTTCTTGGGGAGGGATACAGTGAACAATGACATGTATGCAGAGGAAATATAGGGCCTTAAACCCAAGTTTGAGGCCTCCCATTGTTCAATCTCCTTTGTGAGGGTAGGGTAGGTGATATTAACGAAGTCTGTAGCCAGAGTACTTGGTCCTTCCTCTCCTTAAGGGAAATATTTTCTTTCTTCAGTTTCTTTATCTCTTTCTGTCTCTTTCTTTAGAGCTCTTTCTACGTAGATTGTTTTGGTTTACATTGTTCTTAGTGTCCATTTTTTGAGATTTCATGCACTCAAATTTCATGTCAAACACATGTTTCAACCCTCAGGATGATGGGACCAGCAAAGGGATACTATTTTCTTTCCCAAAGCATTTCTCATCTTTGCTCTGCATACAGATTGGTCATGTGTTCCCTGGTAACTTCCTGGTACCACTGTCACTGTGATGTCCAGACACTTCCATCCCTGGGGTTCTTTTGATGAACTGCAGAGTTCCAGAGGCACAGGGCCACTACAGAAGCTGTTGGGAAGCATTTATCCTGTGAGGCCATCTGAGGTGGTTCCTTGGGTGAGCTATATGTTCTTAGAGTAACCTGTGAATTGTTACAAATAAGTGTCTGGACAAGGCAAACTTTTCTCTTGTTCAGGAGGGTATGTTGGTGAAAGGGGATCTTACCTAGACAGGAACTGCACTTGATTTTATCCTAAGGAAAGTGGTATCTGTGTCTTTTCCCCACTATCTAGAGTCAGACTTCACAGTCTTATTCATTACGTGAGTATGAAAACAGTTGGTCCATTGGAAAGGAAGGAGGAAGGCATACTGCTCCCAGGAAAGAAGAGTCACTGTTCCAGGCCATCAGATTCCTAGAATTCAGGCTTGGGGCTGGGAATAAACACTATTTTACTGAATGGAGGAAGTGTTAAGATTTGAATTCTTTCAATTCTCCTGTTAGTCCCGCCTATACTTCCTGCCTGGCTACTGGCCAATCAGTGTTTTATTTATTGACCAATCAGAGCAACACATTTGACATACAGAACATCCCACAGCAAACTACTGAGTGTGGAAATGTCCCTAAGCAAGTGGCCCAGACTTGATAAGAGAGCTAGCTGAGCATGAGACCATAAGCAGGCAAGAGAACACATCACCAAGCAATGTTTTGCAATGATTTTACCTTCAGTTACTAACCTAAATATATTTCGTGAGTTCCCTCAATGATTGGATTGCCCTGGCAGTGTCAGCTAAGTGAGCCTGTCTATCACCTCAGTTGCTCTTAATAAAAATATTTAATCATAGAAACAAAGAAGCAATCTAGAACAAA